TGGAGGAGCCAGGGTACCCAGCACGGAGCCAGGCCTGGCTCTCGGTGTCACCGGGATCACGGGAAGAGCTCAGGGACGGATGATGTGGGAGGAACTGGGTGTCACGGGGATGTTGAGTCATATAGGGTGGGCTTTCTCTACGGGGGATGAAGCTGCCAGGCAGTCATCTCCCGTAGCAGGCTGTGACACGGCCGATGTCCCCAGCCTGGTGAGGCACCCTGGAGCGGGGCTGGCACCCACGGCTGGTCCATGGCACCTGTAGCCAGCTCCCTTCACTGCTGGGTCCTCAGAGCCCTCAGAGCCCTTTTCCCGGGGAAGCTACTCAAAGTTTGGGAGCCTGCGCTCAGCAGGAGCAGCTTGTGCAGCCGGTGCCCTGCGCTGAAGGTGACATGAAGCGAGCTGGCAGGTAGACAGCCAGCAGGATTACGCCGGTGTTTATCACATTATGGGGATACATAAAGGCCACTGAGATCAGGGCCCCGCGCGTTCAGCTGGACACAGAGTAGAGGACAGGGCCAGCCCTGAGGAGCTTAAGCCGAAATCTGAATCAGGAGCTGCTGACGGCTCCAGACAGCTGTGGGGGCAGGCGGTTTTCCTGCTCGGTGTGCACTGTTTTTTGGGGCACAGCATGGGGTGCAGGAGGTGATTGCTCGTCTGGGTCAGGCCCCTCTGCCTTGCCCAGCGTCTCCTTGGCTGCCCCAGCAAACCTTGGCCATGGGCAAGAAGGCGTTAACGTGCGCGATGCTACTGGCCCTGGGGGAGCACCCGGGGGGTGGTGCCCCCCCTCCCCGCCAGGCTCCGGTGCTCTCGGCTGAAGGAGCCTCACGTGGTACCACCACTTCTCCTTTCTCCTCTTCCCTTCACCCGCAGAAACCCGCACACAAGGTGCAGGGTACAAAACGCCTGCAGGCTCCTTGTCACCTGCAAGGGCTGGTTTGGATCCGTCAGGCACTGGGAGCTGCCCTGAGGTCACCTTTGGAGATTTGGGTCTATTCCCAAACGAGAGCTGGAGCAAATGGGGGCACCTGAGGGCGGGAGCTGGGCTGGCTTTTCCCGGCATCCGTAAAGACTTTGAGTGCGGAGCCTGGGAGCCACCACAGGAGCCGTTGCCGTTGCAGGAGCAGTCGCAGGCCTCGTGAAGAAAGGCGTGACATGCGTTTTCGTGGAGATTGAAAACATCCCAGCCACATTTGCATGTGAATGGGGATGCTGAATTTCATGGCACAACTAAAAGCTGATCAACTGCTGCCCGGTGCCTCTGGCTCTGCCTCCCATGCCTCTCAGCTCGCCCACTCCCAGAGAAAGGGGTAGATTAGGGGGGGTCCTGCAGGCCCTGGGCTGCACAGCTCCTGCCCAGTGCTCGGGAGCAGCCCCTCTGGGGGTGAGCATCTTCTTCCCACCTTCTCTGTGGTGGTGGCACTTGTCTGTCCCTGCCCGGCTCTCCTGTGCTGCAGCCCCAGCAGCCTCCCTGGCCCCGAGTCCCTCGGCCGGCCCAGGAGCTCGGTGCTGGGTTTGCATAACCAGCAAAGCTTACCCTAAATCCTGCTAAGCCAGCCTGGGTGGTGGCAGGAAGCGGGCGGCTGAGAGGGAGCTGCAGGGAGCAAAGCCCACATCCTCCCTGAGTTTTCCACGGGGACGATGTCAAGTTTGGGGCAGGGGCATCCGTATGCGTGTGCTGCACAGGGAGAGGGAGGGTGACAGCCACGCTCCTCGAGCTGCAGCCTCCTGTCCCACACACACAGGGTGACGTTTGCTCCTCCAGACCCTCGGGACCCAGACCCTCGGCAGCTGGTGCCAAACTGCTCCTCTCCACACACGCGCGCTTGCGTGTCCCAGCCGAGCAGCGGGGTCTGTCGCAGGTGTGGGCAGGCACACGTATGTGTGTTGTGAGCGCCTGTCTCTGCGGTGTGTGGGGCTCTCTTTGAACCTGGGTCTGGTTTCTAACGGGCTGTGTCCTGCCTCTCCCCACTTCTCCCTGTCTGCTCCATCCCCCACGCTTTCTCCCTGCAGGTTTTACTGGGACCTCATCATGCTGCTCCTGATGGTGGGGAACCTGATCATCCTGCCCGTGGGCATCACCTTCTTCAAGGATGAGAACACCCCTCCCTGGATCGTTTTCAACGTGCTTTCGGACACTTTCTTCTTGGCTGACCTGGTGCTGAACTTCCGGACAGGCATTGTGGTGGAGGACAACACGGAGATCATCCTTGACCCTCACACCATCAAAATGAAGTACTTGAAGAGCTGGTTCCTGGTGGACTTCGTCTCCTCCATCCCGGTTGACTATATCTTCCTCATCGTTGACCTGGAGACCCAGGTGGATTCAGATGTCTACAAGACAGCCCGGGCCCTGCGCATCGTCCGCTTCACCAAGATCCTCAGCCTGCTGCGCCTGCTGCGCCTCTCGCGCCTCATCCGCTACATCCACCAGTGGGAGGAGGTCAGAACCCTTTGGGGTCCAGGGCCCCGGGGCAGGGTCTCACGCCAGCTCAGGGGTCCCTGTCTGTGGGGAAGAGAGTTTCTCTGCAGCTCCACTCCTGCCTCTTCCCCAGATCTTTCATATGACATACGACCTGGCCAGCGCGGTGGTGAGGATCTTCAACCTGATCGGGATGATGCTGCTGCTGTGCCACTGGGACGGCTGCCTCCAGTTCCTGGTGCCCATGCTGCAGGACTTCCCCGAGGACTGCTGGGTCTCCATCAACCACATGGTGGTGAGCGCCTGGGCAGGGGCGATGCTGACGGAGAGGAGGGGTTTCACACGCTGCAGAGCAGCGTCTCTCTGGTCACAGCCCTGCCACGGCAGTGAGATGGGGTAGAGGGAATCCCTGCATCCCCTTCTCATCCCAGCCCATCTTGGCTGCTGGAGCAGGCAAGGGAATCCCTGTGCCCTGGTGGGAGCGGGGCGGTAGGGCTGCTGCCTTCTCCCCGGAACAGGGCTGGACCAGGTTTGGGGCTTTGTGGGGTCTCCACTGTCTCCTCCCAGAGCAGAGCTCTGCCCCGGGGGCTCACTCAACCCTTTTCTTGTTATGGCTCTGTGCTCCCTGGCTCGGGGATTGGGCACTGGAGGTCTCAGCCCTGCAGCTCCTCCCAGAGCTTCCCCAGCACTGCTGTCCCCTCTCCTGCAGAACGACTCCTGGGGGAAGCAGTACTCGCACGCCCTCTTCAAGGCCATGAGCCACATGCTCTGCATTGGCTACGGCCAGCAGGCGCCTGAGGGCATGACCGACGTCTGGCTGACCATGCTGAGCATGATCGTGGGGGCCACCTGCTATGCCATGTTCATCGGCCACGCCACCGCCCTCATCCACGC